TCGCTCCCGCACGGTGCGGCCGGGCGGCTGGCGTTACCCGTGTACCACTGAACGTGCGCCCCCCGGCGCGCGCCAACCGTAAATGACGCCAAGATTAAAAATTATCAGCGGTGCTGGGTATACGGTACCGTACCGCGTACCGCGGATCGACGCCGCATACATTCAATTCGCAGTGATTCAGCAACAGCAGGCGCGCGCGCGGCGCCGCTAGAAGACTCACGACTCGATTGCGACGAGCAGCAGTCACATGTGCATGTGACTGGGAATTGCGACTGCGAAACTCGTCTCGTGATCTCTGCGCATGACGATTCACTCGACGAAGCGTGACTCGTTGCTTGACTCTGTGGTTTGATGATCTGGCTTGACTGTGCCTGTATGCATCTCGCCTAAATGCTATCATCCTCAACCATTGCCCCCAAGCAAGCTATTCGTCGAAGATTGTCGGCTCGTCAAAGGCAAGCGATTAAGCATCACGCAAGACGGGACAGACCATCATCTACCACTCACGACTGCCAAGAAGATCGATTCCACCTTGTCGCTCGCTACCCCTACTCGGGACTGCTCTACACGTGCGCCAATCTCTCGGGTCTTCTGGCAGCGCATTCCCCGTCCCCCCACCTCTGGCAAAATCGATTCCATTGTCCGCCCACCGCGCGCACACTTGTCACACCGCACAGCGCACCAAGCAACATGGCCACGCTCCTCTCACCGGATACGCTCGAGGGCAAATTGCTGTTTGCCATTCCCAAGAAGGGAAGGCTGTACGAAAAGTGTTTGGAATTGTTGTCGGGTGCGGATATACAATTCAAGAGGGCGCATAGACTGGATGTAGCCCTAGTGCAGAATCATCCCATGGCTCTGTGAGTGTTGTGTGAACAAGGTGTAGCAGAGAGGGGACGGCGGCGGTAGTCTGGTCGCCATACAGCGAGGCAAGACGTGTAGCGAGGGAGCACGGAAGCACCAAGATGTTTTGGCCTCTTGCGCTGTGATTGCTGCTGATCATCATCCCCGCCCTACCTGATGCAATGCAGCGTCTTTCTGCCCGCAGCCGATATTCCGAGGTTTGTAGCAGAGGGCAATGTGGACCTGGGCATCACGGGTCAAGACATGGTGGCCGAAGCATCGCTCAACTCTAGCATCACCGAAGAGTTGGAATTGGGATTCGGCAAATGCGCGCTTCAAGTGCAAGTTCCAGAAAGCAGCGCTTACAAAGCTCCGAGGGATCTGGTTGGTAGAAAGATCGCTACGAGTTTCGATCGATTGGCTGGCAAGTACTTCGAAGAGCTGGAGAGTCAAGAGGGCTCTCAAGTTGGAGACAAAAAGACTGCCATCGAGTATGTTGGTGGAAGTGTAGAGGCTGCTTGCGCTCTCGGATTGGCCGACGGTATCGGTGAGTGGAAGATGGATGCTGGCCGCGCGATGGTTGATGCTGATGTTCAGCATACACTCTCATCTGCTCAGTGGATCTGGTCGAGTCGGGAGAGACAATGCGGGCTTGCGGTCTGCACGCCATTGCCACACTTTTGCAATCCCAAGCCGTGCTCATCCGGCCCACCACGCCGCACGCGCGAGCCAACGTCTCGCTCATCAAGCTGGTCACGAATCGCATCAAGGGAGTCATTGCAGCTAGCAAGTACGTCTTGGTAGAGTACAACATCGAAAAAGCTTCTCTGGACGGCGCTCTAACCGTCACGCCCGGAAGAAGAGCTGCGACGGTCAGTCCGCTCGACGATGAAGGCTGGAACGCGGTCAGCGCAATGGTGCTCAAGAGCGAAAGCGCCAACATCATGGTGAGTGCGTCTTTCAAGCACGTAGTATTGGCGCTAACGATGACCTCTCTCGCTTTCAGGACCGCCTGGAAGAACTAGGAGCGGTGGACATCTTCGTCGTGCAGCTGAGCAATTGCAGAATATGACAAGCTCATCCCACACTCTCTTCAAATGCGAATGCGTACAGAGATACACATTTTCATTGTTGCGGGGCGCCGAACGCACGACGTGCATAAGAAATACAGGAGTAGAGATTCACTGAGGCTGACTCATAAAGGAAGCCAAGTCTGCACCCGCGCCACCCATCATCTCGAGCCACCTATCAATCGAGTCGATGCCCATCGATTCGTTCTGCCACGCGCCGTTGTATTGGTGTTGATGATGCATCAAAGGGTGTTGCTGCGGATGGCTTGAAAAGGGGGCTATCGGACTGTGAGGAAGCGGGACCTGCAAGTGAGCTTGAGGATGGTGAGGTGAGATTGGCGAAACGAGGTGATATTGCCCCTGCGCTGATCCTCGGTAGGTCATGGCGTCGTGATGGATCAGGTGGTGATGATGATCGACTGCTCGAAGGTGTTGCATATGGTGAGGTATTTGAATATGATTCGATGATGCGCGTTGATGTTGTTGGTGATGATGAAGATTCGAGGAAGCATGAGCCGACGAGCTCTGTGCTCCGTTGGACGACGTGATGCCCGCAATGGGATGCGTGGCACTACGAGCATGCAACAAATCGTCGTGCGAGGCCGCAAATCTATCGCTCGTGCCGATCGCCGTCGCATCGATGCTTTTTGCAGGATTGCGAAGACCCGCTGCAGCCTCTAGGGGCACTAAGCTCAAGCCTGCACCATTACTCTCTGCGTCCCGAGCAGCAGCTGCCGAAGCGCGAGAACGGCTCGCGATGGCCGCTGTAGTTCGTAGCGCGGGTCGCGACTCGAAAAGCGCAGTATCGCCCGACTCGCTGAGAATCGTCGATTGTGCTTCAACAGCCCTGGTCAGGAGGTCCAAATCTCGCTGCTTCTTGTCAACCAAAAGCCTGGCTATGCGATGAGTAATGTGGCTTGCTTCTCGAGTCGTCTGAGTGTCAAAGACGCTCTGCACCTTGTGTAGCGCTTTTAGAGTTCTGCCTAGATGTGCCAGGCTCGTGGGACTGTCGATGGCAATGAGCATGCAGCTGAGCTGAACGAGCGTGTTGGTGAGCTGCCACCATGGCGCTTTGGCATCAGCAATACCTTCCGCTGCAATAACGGCGCCTAGACCCAAGTCCAATATCGTCGCTTCGTGAGTCTTGGAAAGAGCGCGTCCAGTAGCGCGATATCGTCGAAACAGGGAGCACACGATGTCCGCTTTGACCAGCGCTAGCACCGCCGAAGGCTCCGGAACGGCTTCTATACGTGCAATGGCACGCAGAAGAACCCCTTCGCCATTGATGATGCTGGCAGCGCTCGAGTCATCCGAGACACGCGTCGGGCCAGGAACGCCCTTGCCCCCACCAAGCCCAGTGCCCGTCCCATCACCCCTCACATCCTCGTCCAAAATGGCGACCAGAGTACAGAATGCGTGCGTTGCGTCGTGCGCGCTAGGCTCCAGGGGTAATCTGGTAATTTGTCGAAGTGCTACCGGTGTCAGACCAACTTCCCAGCTGACGATGCTATTGAAGCTCTTTGCTGTCCAAAACAGTCTCTGCAGTCGAGTAGAAGGGGGCCGCTTCGGGGTGACAGAAATGCCTATGGCTGCACACAGCTCATCAGGTTCCTGCCTCCCTGCCTGATCCTGCACGCTATGCTCCGCTTCAACGTCCGCCTCTTCGCCTTCCAAAGGCTGCAGATGCAACCCCAAGGCCTCGGCTACGTGCACAGCTTGAGAACTTCGACGCCATGCGACTTGCGGGTGGTCACTTGCTCTGGCATAGAAGCCGAGGTTGAGCCAGGCAGCCACGTGCTCCACTTGAGGCGACCTCCATGCCGAATTCTCATCAAGCAGGCTTTGTGCGCGCTTGACGAGGCGTGCTTCGAGACGAGCTGCCGCTTCCGATTGCTCGCCCGAAAAGATGCTCCCGAGCGCGGCGACGGACGCAGCTGCGGCTTCAAATCCCTCACTGTATTCACGAGGCTCTATCAAAGGAGATGGTGGCGAGCCGCTTTGAGCGTTACCGGCTGATTGCGGTGCTGAAGAGTCTCCACTGATGCTTTGCCCTAGCTGACTGCCTTGCAGTCTTCGCCGTTTCACTTGGTGCCCATCGCTGGCCGTGTGACTTGTCCTGCTTGCGTAGAGTGCGAGCACGTCCTTGACAAACGGCTCAAAGTCCAAGATGGCATAGTCGGGCCAGACAGCAGCAAAGTAGACGCGGGCGAGGGCAAAGTAGCCTTCCAGCGTCGGCACAATATCCCTGAGTGTCGGCTCTTGACTGCTAGAGCTGCGAGAAAGTTGCGGTCGCAAACCCAAATTCCAGCCAAAAGAGGCGACGGCAGCTCTGGAAGGCGTCAAGTGCGAGGTTGCAGGACGCGATTGGCTCTTCAATCCGAGGAAAGAGTCGGACGGCGCACCGGACAAGTCGTCCCGCGGTGATATTGAGCTGCTGGCGTTTGAGGATTTGGAAATTGGTCCAGCAAGATGTCTCGACGAGCTGCGTCCCTCCTCACCGCGATCGCTGGAGCGGAGCTCGGCGCCAAGCCGAGCCGGGAAGCCCACGGAAGAATCTTCGCCAGAGTAGCTGATGACCTTGTGATGGGCCTCGTCCTCATCATCCGTCTCTGATTTTGGCTCGATCTCATCCGTCGTCACTATCATAGACGGGCTCGAGTCCAGATTAGTGGCCCCCTCGCCCTTGAGCGAAGCGGCGGCGGTTGCTGCTGCTGCTGCCGTGGCATCTCGTGCTGCTCGCGCCGCGACCGCGCGGCTCCACTTGGCTGATCGCCCCTCGGCATTGTCAGCAGGGTCATCACTGGCAGGAGAGCTATCGACGCTCGCATTTCGTACGGTCGATGTTGTTGTCGCATTTGAGACTACTCGCTGACGACCGATCTGCATTGCATCCGCCAGCGTCGAGGAGGACTTGGCGAGCGGGACGGGCGAGGCGTGAGCGACTTCCGTTTTTGATGCGGTACCCGAGCCCATCACCTTGCGACTATCCTCTTCAAACTCGCAGAGATAGCCCATGCCATCGCAGCTCGAGCATGGAAGCTTGCCATCGCATTTCCTCTTGCGTTGCTTGCATGGCAAGCATGCCTGTAGAACGCGTTTGCGCTTGAACGATGTTGGCAGCGCTGCAGAGCTCGGGGAAGGGCTCATTGCGCCATTGGCTGTGTTTGTCATCGGATGGTGGGTGGTGGGCTGCGGAAGAGCTTCTGGCGAAGGTGTACGTGCGTTGGTGGAGAGAGTGGAAATGCGTCACAGCGTCTTCTCACCGAGTAGAAGTGGTAGACGGCGTTTCCATGCTAGTGTTCTCCGGAGGGGTCGTGCCAAGTATACCTCGATCATCGACAAAGAATGTTCCGGCCTCGCTCGTCCTCACTTGATCTCGCTGAAAGGTAAAACGACCCTTGACCGATGCCCATGCCAGCGGCGGCAGAGTCTGCTCCAGCTACGAAAAACGACAGGCCCAACACCTGTTCGAGAAGTAAATGAAGGTGAAAGGGTACGAAATGAAGTGA